GCACACTAAAAATAATTTGAAATTAATATATCCTGGGCAAACCTTCATTTTCTTTTAAATTTTGCAATACCTTCAAGTGAAAACATTTGAATACACAGCACAAAGGCCCATTTTCTTTGGGAAACATCGATCATTTCCAAGGTGAAAGGTAGCATAAATATGTCCTTAAGTAAGAGGTACAGACACAAAAGTACCAAGCTGGAGTAATAAACAGATTTGGGAGATTATTATTGTTGTGGGAGTGATTCGCTACTTGTCTGAAATGTGGGGAGGTTGAGGGTGTTTTTAATTTAATGGATTAATCATTTATGTCTGAAGTTCTTGCTCCTTCCTATGAAAGCAATGCAGGAGGTTTGCGTGAAGTTATAAATCATGTCAGTGTTTGGGCCTCATTTCCAGGAGGCCTGGGCTATGCGGAGGTTGTACTAATAACTTGAGAGGAAGTAGTTGCTGGGAAGGGTTCCCTTTAGGCAACCAGGTCAAAGCAGAGTCACAGACAGGAAGTCCCAGAAAATGGTAGCCCAGCCTGTGTATGGGATCCCGCCGCCACCACCAGGAGCCAGAGAGCAAGGCAGCTCCGGAGAGAAGAGGCCTATATTTTACTCCCTTCTTGGCAATCTTCTCTGGGTCTTGATTTTCCCATCTGTATAATGGGCTGGAAGCTGTCTGAGGGGCAACCAGCTCTGACCTCCTGTGTCCACCAATTACAGATAAATATGGCTTGAGACAAACCCCAAATCTCCCCTATGTCTGCCCCACTTTGCACTTTGAACTGTATTTCATGCCAGGCATTTCCCAAGCATTTTGTACATATTATATCTCATCAGGCCTATGAGGCAGGAGGTACTGTTATTATTCCCATTTTACAGGTGAGCTTGTTTACTTGTGTAAGACTGTATGTCAAGGATGTGCCGGGTCAGCATCAGGACTTGAACTCAGGTCTGTCTGGCTCAGAGTTCGTATCTCCAACCTTTGTCAGAGGTGCTGCCAGCTCGGGCTCGCACTGCGTCTAGGGTAGAGCAGCCAGCCAGCTCCTACTCGCAGGTTTTGGTATCTTTGCCACACATAACTCCTCAGCATATCTGCTGTCTGTTCAGAGTCTTCTGAGCTCCTCAGAGAAGCAAGCAATGGGCCAGGGCCCCCCTTTTCCCTCCCTTATTCTCTCCTTCCCACCTTCCCTCTGGCTGAGAAGCTAGTTGGAGAAATGCAGACACAGAACATGGCTCCCTGTCTGCATGTCTCAGGCACTGCCTCAGCCCAGTAATCACAAACGATCTGCCAGACCAAGAGGAGACCACACTGCACCTGCAACAGCACTGCTGGGCACCTGGACCGAATTCATCCGGGCTGCTCAGGGCCATCTTCCATGCTTCCCACTCACGCTTGGGATGGATGCGAAAAGGAACAAATGACACAGGTGAAAGTGACTGCTTTCTCCCTCTTTCCTCACGAGGCTCCTTAGCCAAGGACAGAAGGACAGCACTATCGGTGCTGAGGACGTGCCTTCTGTCCTCAGCACCAGTAGTGCCTTCCCTGCCTTCCAGCTCCTCGTGCTTAAAGCTACTCTTCTTTGGCACCAAGCTGCAACCTGTAAAGCTCCCCATGCCCACTGCCTCTGGGGGGCTTCTGCAGTGACCCAGCCTTCCCTGGGCCTCCCTCCTGGGAACCAAGCAGCATCAGGAGTCTGCCCGGTGATAAGTGGAGCCTCGCCAGGAGCAGGGTGACGCCAAGCCATGTGGTTCACCAACTTCAGTCCTGTGGAGGGCAGGCGCTGGGGCTTACATTCACTGTATTGTTCTCTCATCAGTTTATCACTAGGCCAGCTGTTTCTGACCAGGACTGAGTTCAGCACTAGGAACGGAGACAAATGAGGTAGGCTTCCTGCCCTCTGTCTCCCCACTGTGTGCAGCCCAGAGCAACTCCACAGAGGCTGCGGACTGACCACCCTTGCATCCCACATCTGCTCTTCCCGAAAGCAGCAACATAATATCCCAGCAGAGCGGGCATCCAGAGTGTGGGATCTAGGGTCAAGATCTGCTGTGCAGCTACTAAGTGGGGGTGGGTGGGTCTGGGCAAATCACTTACTCTCTCTGAGCCCCCATTTCCTCATCTGTGAGACAGGGATGGTGCATAGTAGGTATTCAGTAAATGCTACCATTGTAATTATGTCTTTCAGACCATTCTAGTTTGAACAACATTTTCCACACAGATATAGTTGTATTTCCTCTGACTCTAATACAGCAAGTTTAACTTCTGGAATACTCTGAAAACCTCCTGTTTTGTTCCTAGGTCAGCAGCCAATGACCTTATGTTCTTAGGAGGCAACAATGGGCCTACTTAAGTATGGCTGTGCCTGTGAGGAAGCTGGTTAAAGAATTAACTAGCGATCCCCAAGTGCCTAGGAGTCAGCCCAGCCCAGGGACCTCATGGGCTCCTGGAGACAGAGCCACCCTAATGGCCTAGCCCAATATTGTGGGGGCTGAACACAGTGAGCTGATTTAATGAGGCAGAAAACTGATCACAAAGTACAGAGGTCCCAGCATGCTTCCTCTCACTCTATTGACAGCTGTTTGGCTGGAAGAGAAGTCTTAAATCTCTTAGCAATTAGGAAATGGGTCTCAAGTGGCCCCTCTCTGGATTTCAGCAGGAAGGTTTTGCTCTTTGTTTGGACTCTCATGGGCCAAGAGCAGCCTCTTCAGCGGAGACAAGCAGTCCCTGAGCTGTGGGTGGAGAGCTCAAACAGCATGCTCCAATGCCAGCTGTGCAGCCTACTCCTACCTGGTGGGAGGAGTGCGCCTCATAGTGTTTGGTAGCCTTGCTCCCGATTCAATGCTGGGAGTGAGGAACTGGCTCCGTTCACATCATGAACTCTGTCTCAGAATTCTGGGGGTAGTGCCCCTGGATCACCCCTGCTGGGA